ATTGCTTAGATTCACGTGACTACCTGACATCTTACCCTGCTACAAATACACAATATTACTAAATTAAACTTATGAAATATTTTAGACTAAAGATTAAAGGGCTATTTTCAATAAATTCAATAAGAAATAGAGTAATTCTTGTTTTCTGTTGTTAAGGTTTGGTTTCAATTGTAATCATGAAAAGTTTAAAAAGTGACCTGGTAAGTATGAACTTCTCTAAGTAAGCAAAAATGAAAATGTTTGCATTCATCAGTGTTGGAATTCAATTGAAAAAAAAATCTGGTTTTTATGTTCAAATCTTCACTGAAGACTGGAATTTCATTTTTTAACCCTATAATCTATTTTTTTTAGACTCAGATCCTGCTGTAAAAGGAACACTTTACCATCACAATAGAACTGAGGACTTAAAAGTCTCTGACTCTTCACAAAATGCTTTTCATATCTTATTGTGAAGTAGAAACTCCCTTTTGCTTATGAAGAGATCAGGAATGAATTGTATTTATATATGTATTTACCTAATCATTAAATTTCAAACTATTTTTAAATTGTCACAAAAACAGTCTGGATACACTAGTTAGATAATTATGTCAAAATAAGTCCTAATGTTATTTATAACTAAAATAAATCAATAAAAAATCTTTAAAAAAATCAGCCTTATGTAATGCTTTGAACAACCAATAAAAATAAAAAAAATAAAAACTAAATTTAAAAAAATCAGCCTCAAATCACTAGGTAACTAAGTGTTTGGAAGTATGTCAAGATGAAAGACAGAATGACTGCAATTTAAATGTTGCCATTTCATATGGAAATAGTTGCTCAGTGGCAGAGAGCTTGTCCAGCATCCACAAGATCTTGGCTTGCATCCCCAGAACTACACAATTCCAATTCCTTGATCATTTACCTCCAGTAACTATTGGCTTCAATTAGACATATGGTCCTATTTTTTTCTGTATCATGGAGTTGAAAGCACAGAACTCAAATAAGAAATGATCACTAATATTAAATGGCAGGACCATAGCAAAATAAGATCATTTCTATAGATACTGGTAGCATACACCCCACAGGAAACCTTCTGTCTTTGTTACCTGCAGTGAAACCTCTTGTTTGGATTGCCCTGTTTTGTTAGCATGGCATTTGCAAGGACAATTTATGGATTCTTTCGCCTTTGGAGGCTCTCCCTGAGGAGAAGCCAAACAACTATTAGAGTATCCCTAAAGCATTTGGAGATTAATAAACGACCTGGAAGTTACCCAATAATTGTCAGGGACAATTTGTTTTCAATTGTGACTTTTCTTATTAATTGATCATATGAGCCAGTAATCCAAATTCAGGGTTTCATCCAGAAGTATCTTGTATTAGAATCTCAAAAATATTCTAGCACTCTCATGCTCATTGCAGCATTATTTGAATACCCAAAATGTGAGAAAAAAAATAAAACTAAACATCTTATATAAGGTATTGAAAACACTCTGTAGTACTAGTTATCATTTTTCTTGGTTATTTATGAGTGTCTATATCTACAAACACTGTAAGTTTGCAGAGATTTTAAGTAAATTTTGTAATATACCAGTGACTGTCTTCTTCCGAAGGTTTCTTTCTTCACTTCATTATTTGTCTTGGACTCCTCCATGATAATTAGCTAGAGGTTTTTCCCTTATTTTGCCAAATACATAAATTTATTATATATTTGAAATGTTTCCCCAAATAGGTGGCATCATCAGTGAACTCTGCCCTGGGTGTAAGGCCCCTTGTTTTCTGCTCCTGCTGGTTCTCACTGCAGTGGACCTGGCCATGAACCCCAAGACAAAGGCACATGCTCAGTTTTATACCATGCTACCAAGCTGATAGTCTTGCTGCCTGTGCTGCTACCCAGGGCTAGCAGAAACATCATGGAAGCAGTTTCATTGTGGCCTGGATTATGAGTTCTAGTCGCTAAGTCTCAGATGTACACCTTTGGGCATGGACCAAAGGACTCTTCCTGTCACTTGCATTTATCTTGGTATGTTCCAAACTTGGTTTCAAGTCTAAGGCCTGACTCAATTCTCTTTTCCCCTTTCACAGGGTAAACATCTCTCTCCAAGCTTTATCTCAAAGAGTTGGATAAATATAACCACATGATTCCACTCTTAAATCATATTGGATTTTCAAAATTAAATTGTTAAAAATCAACTTCACCTATTCACATTAGTCTTTCTTTTATTTTAATGTATTTATGTGTTCATTTATTCATTTATTGGTGCCAGGGCTTGCCAAGGGCAATAAACCACTGAGCCACATCCCCAGCACATCTTTATTTTTTAAATTAGAGACAGGGACTCACCAAGTCTCAAAGACTATCTTTGTATTCATAATCCTGCAGCCTCAGCTAATGGGATTATAGGTATATGCCACTGCACCTAACTTGATTTATTTTTATAATAAAATTTATACTTTATAAAATTGAAGCTTTGCACATTCTATTATGTCCCTCATAATCCTGTTCAATCTTATTAGTTACATTTTATTTTCCCCAAATTCCTATAAATTTTGTACTCCCACTAGAACAGTGGGGATGTTTCTTTTACTCCACTTCTCCACCATTATCTGATAGCCTTATATTTTAACACTTTTTCCATTTTATGAGATTATGTTTTATATATTACTTTTTCACATTATTATTGAAGCATATATCATCATATTTCTTTTTGGTTTTTCTATATATATCTTTTGTTCATTTTTCTATGGCTTTTTGACCTTTAATTATTATTTCTCTTTTGCATAATTGTATCTGTTTTCTCCAATCTGTGGCATGTTTACTTTTTAATATGTATTTCCATTGTGTAAATATTAGAAGCTTTAATGAATAAATGAGTCAATCTTTTAGAATTTTGTTTTTGTTTAAGGATATTTTCTGTGCTGAATCATACACAATTATACACACATATACTCACACAAATAAACAGTCCATTTGTATGAACAAAATGTACTCAGATAATCATTATCAGTGACCAGTTTTAACTTTTGACATTTTAAAAAATGCTTTGCAAATAGTAGTAGCTTTTGGGGTTTTTTTAAATATATATCCTAGAGATTAATGCTGTATCTGATGTGTGAAGGGTAAAAATTTGCTCCCAAGATGCAGGCTTTCTAGTCACCTCACAGATTGTTTCTTTTGCTGAGAAGAAACTTTTTAGTTTGAATCGATGCCATTGATTGATTCTTGGTTTTAATTCTTATTAAGGAAGTTAATAAGAATTAAGGAGTCTTATTAAGGAAGTTGGTGACAATCCCACATGATGGAGATTAGGGCCTACTTTTTCTTCTATTAGACAGAGAGTCTGTGGTTTAATTCCTAGGTCCTTGATCCACTTTGAGTTGTGTTTTGTGCATGGTGAGAGATAGGAGTTTAATCTCATTTTGTTGTATATGGATTTTCAGTTTCCCCAGCACCATTTGTTAAAGAGGCTGTCTTTTCTCCAATGCATGTTTTTGGCATCTTTGTCTAATATAAGATAATTGTAATTTTGTGGGTTAGTCTCTGTGTCCTCTGTTCTGTACCATTGGTCTACCAGTCTGTTTTGGTGCCAATACCATGCATGCTGTTTTTGCTACTATTGCTCTGAAGTATAGTTTAAGATCTGGTATAGTGATACCACCTGCTTTACTCTTCCTGCTAAGGATTGCTTTAGCTACTCTGGGTCTCTTATTTTTTCAGATGAATTTCATGATTTCCTTTTCTGTTTGTATGAGGAATGCCATTGGGATTTTGATCGGAACTGCATTAAATCTGTATAGTGCTTTTGGAAGTATGTTTAGCATTTTTTTTTCTTTACATGACAATATGCATATGCTTTTATTATTCTAGTAACTGTGACTTCGTAATGTAAACAAAATGCAGTAAGTTCTAAATCATAAAACAATGAAGGAAACACGGAGAATTTTAGAGAAGTTTGTGGATGATGTGCAAAACCATGGCATATTACACTCCAAATAGACATAGCAGAGCATGGATCATGGGCTCATTTCTGGTTACACCAACTCAAAACACTGGAAATACAGGAACTACAAACATAGTTTATCATAGAATAAGCATATTCTGCCAAAATAATATTAACTAACAGACTAAGACTTTTTTAAAGAAGAATTATTCCTTGCATTTAATGAGGTAAGGAAGAGTGACTATCCATGGAACCAAAACAGGAAGAAAGGAATTCAGATTGAACAGTAAGGATAATAAATAATGAATAAACCATGGGAGTCTTTGATTGAATTTGAGACATTAGTCTCAACTGGTGCATTCACTTGTATATACACATGTACTGAAAGAGACAAAATGAGAAACTTCACTGAAGCTACAAGCGGCTACAGAGCTGACTATGCTGAGATAATAGACTCCCTTGAGCTCTTATAGGAAGGTCAGGGTTCCCATGAGAAAAAAGAAGGTGCCTAAGATCCCCACAAGGAAAAGTGGCAGGTTAGCACATTCATATGACTCTTTTTTTTTAAATCATCAGATTACACTAAGCCATCTGTTACCATAATCAAGATTGAGTTTAACATAAGCCACAAGAATAAAAATACCAAAATGGAATGAGTGTGTTCATATAAGAAGAGAAACACATACACAAACATGGGCAGTGGAAAGTTGATTGCAATGCTTGAGAATATAACAAAAATATTGTAAATTGTCTTCCATACACAGTACTCATTCTCCAATAGAACATGGGACTCTGATACATACACTAATAGTCTAAGCACAACCCCAAATCCATTATAATTTATTATAAAATGTAATCATTCATTATGTTCACAATTCATATGTCATGCTTAAGAATGGAAATTCTTTTGCCATTCATTTTGTTTATATGTGCATTCATACCATTTAAAAATTTGGCTAGTACAAAGAAGGCAGATTACTGATTATATATATATTGAGTCAATTTTTTGCTTCTAATACAACTTGGAATGAAACATACTGGGTTGTTGCAAAATCTGATTTAAATGGCTTTTTTTATATACCTTTATGAAAAGATATTGCATATTTTTTTCCATGTGCTCAGTAGGGCATACTTTACATCTTTGTTTCTCAAGCTGTAGATCAAGGGATTCAACATGGGGATGACAAGGGAGTAAAATATGGAAGCCATTTTATCAGTGTCAAAAGAGTGACTGGACTTTGGCTGTACATACATATATAACAAAGTCCCATAGAATACTATGAGTGCCATCAGGTGGGATCCACAGGTGGAGAAAGCCTTGCGCCTGCCCTCAGCAGACTTCATTCTGAGAATGGTTATGAGGATGAGCAGGTAGGACACGAGGACAATTAGAAGAGAGGAAAGCAAATTAAAAGCTGCTAAGATTAGAATTATCACTTCAATTTCATGTGTGTTTGAACAAAGCAAAGAGATCAAGGGGAGACTATCACAGTAGAAATGACTGATGACATTGTAGTCACAGAAGGGTAAAGTAAAAATCTTTGTGGTGACTAGAAGAGACAAAAAGATCCCATACAAATAGGGGACTGCCACCAAGAACTGACATATGCTCTGTGACATGATGACCATGTAGAGGAGAGGGTTACAGATGGCCACATAGCAGTCATAGGCCATCACAGACAAAATATAAAGTTCAGAAGTAATGAACACACAAAAGAAAGCTAGCTGGGTAGCACATAAATAATAAGAAATTGTATTTTGATCCACCACAAAATTCACCAACATTTTGGGGCCCACAGCTGTAGAATAACCAAGGTCACTGAGAGCCAGGTGTCTCAGGAAAAAGTACATGGGTGTTTGTAGCCTCTGGTCCACCTTGGTGAGGATGATCATGCCCAAGTTGCCCACCAGTGTGCTCATGTAGATGATGAGGAACAGCCCAAACAGTGGAGCCTGCAGCTCAGGGCATGAAGTGATGCCCTTCAGAATGAACTCATGCATAGCTGTGAGGCTGGGTTTTCCCATCCAGTTTTTTTTTTCTTTTTCTTTTTTGGAAAGTCTATTCTGGAGAGACATAGTAGCTGAATCAATAGATTTTTCAATGCTGTCATTATGGGAACATTTGTTTTTCAAAGCTGTTGTAAATAATATACATATATACATATATATATATGTGTGTGTGTGTGTGTGTGTGTGTATATATATATATATATATACACACACACACACATACTTTCAAATGTATAACATTCAAAACTAAACTCTATATATGTCATTACGATGAAAATATATAGAAATAGAGAGAGTTACAGGACAGTATTTATCAACCAGGGTAATTTCACTTATTACCAAATACATTTTTCAACATCTGTAGGTACTTTAAGTGCCACAGTTGGGAAGTGTACACTACTAGCATCTAATGGTTCCAGGGCTGTTTAGCTGCTAACCATCCTACTACATCTAATATCCATTCAGATGTAATAACCATAACAATAAAATTATTCCAAGGCTAATAAACTCAGAGAAAAGTAATAAGAAGATATAAGGATATTGATAAAGATATAGACACATAAATAAACACTAAAAAGAGTTAAACATTCCTTAAACTTTGGGTGTTTGGTAAGTAATTATTGTACTATTAATTTTATTTGTCACTTATATAATTACAATGTCATTTTGATATTTATTAATTACATTTAATAAATGATAATGTGGTATGTCAATGACATAATAAATATTTGTAATTATTAATTCAAAAAATGAATAAAACTCAATACATCAATCCATAATCCTATAAAATCTATATACTTTCAAGTGATAGAGCTGAAATTCTGAGCACTCTAGGTAAGTGTATGGATGGAAAACTACAACAGACCACTTTAGAAATTGTCTTTGTATAATCAGAATAAATGTGTATCCATTTCCATATAGTCTATGTTATGTGTTTATTTAGTGGTTATAGAGATTACGTTAGGCAAATAATTTTGAAAACTATTCTCATAAACAGAAACAAACAAACTGACATAAGCGTGCTATAGTGATACAGGCTCAACAATGTTTATATCAGTGCAATTTACAGTCACCATATTATGGAACCATCCCGGGTGTCAATCAACAGATGAATGCATACAGAAATGTGGTATATGTGCACAATGAAGTTCTGTTTAGTTTCAAAAATAATGAAATTATGTCACTTGCTGATAAATGAGGAGAATTGGAAAATACCATGTTACACAAAATAAGCCAGACTCAGAACATCAAAGATCAAAATTCTTTTTTTCATCTACAGAATCTAGATAAAAATAAGGAAATGAAAAAGGTTGGGTGGGGGGATTCCATGAAAATAGAAGGGAGATCAGTGCAGTAGAGGAGGGGGAGGCAGAAGGGATGGGACTAGAGAGGAATTATGGAATGAAATCGACCAAATTATTCTATGCACATATATGAAAACACAACAGTGAATTTTACCTTTATGCATATCTAAAGCAAAAACTTAGAAAAAAATATAATGAAGACCAATAGAGTAGAAGAGGAGAAAGGGGGAAGGAAAAGGGAAGGTAAAGAGAAAATACTGGGGATTGAAAGGAAGTATATTATATTCCTTGAAGTATGGTTATATCAAAATGAACTCCACTATTATGTGTAAATATAATGCACTAATAGAAACATAAAATAGAAAATAGAAAAGATCACGTATATATGTAGTTTCATTTTTACTTCTTAGTGTGTGTGTGTATATATACACACACACACACACTACATATATATATATATATATATATATATATAGAGAGAGAGAGAGAGAGAGAGAGAGAGAGAGAGAGAGAGAGATAGAAACCTACCTGAAAGAAGTTTCTTTTACACATTCAGATGAGCACTTTCATGGACTTCATCTCTTTGTAAGGTCTCAAATGATGACTAGGTGAGGAACAGGTCAAGTGTGATGGATTCATGCAATTTACACCAATTCCCGTTCATGCCTCCTCCTCAAATATACTTAAGGAGTAAAACTGGACACACTACTTGCTGTGGTTTATATTTCCTGCCTTTTATCTTTCATAAGTACTTCAACAATATTTTAGTATAAGTTACCTTGATATTAATATACTTAAAATATTAAATTTCCTCATGAGGCATTGTCATTAGAATTGAGATATTCTTATTTCTGTGTAACAAAGCTGATGTAAGTTACATGCAAGACCTACGGGAGCATAAGGAAATATGAGAAAATTAGGAGATATAAGGTCAGTGACATTGAATATAGAATGAAGATTCATCAAATTTGGGAGGCTAAGTGGATGAAACATTTTAAAAATAAATTTTATAAATTTCTGTTTTATAAAACTTTTACCTGACATAATATCACAGACACAAGACAAAATACAGTGAAGTTGAGATATATATATATATGTATATATATATATA